GACGAAGACCAGTATTGGAAAATTGTGGTACCAGACCACCATGAGATCAAGAAGTTGCTACTCCAAGAACTCCATGATGTTCCCTATGCTGGACACCCAGGTTACCTAAGGACATTGCATACTGCCAAAAGAGGTTTGTACTGGAGAGGAATGGCAGGTGATATCAGAGAGTATGTCATGTCGTGCCCAGTTTGTCAGTTGGAGAAGTCTGAATATCAACGTCCACGTGGCGAGTTGCAGCCATTAAGAGTACCTGAGCAAAAGTGGACAGAGGTGACTTTGGACTTCATTACCAAGCTGCCTACGACTCAATGTGGTAACGATGCTGTGCTTACAGTGGTCGACAGGGCCACAAAGATGGTGCATTTTGTACCCTGCAAGGAAGAGATTTCAGCATCTGAAACTGCATTTTTGTATTGGCAACATGTGGGAAAACTTCATGGATTGCCCAAAGCACTGTACTCTGATCGTGATCGCAGATTTACCAGTGCTTTCTGGCGAAGTCTTTGGAAATTGGTTGGTTCTGACTTGAGATTCAGCAGTGCCTACCACCCATAGACTCAAGGGTTGGTAGAAAGAATGAACGCAATTTTTGAACAAACACTGCGTTGCACTGTGCATGAATTGGGAGAGCCTCATGATTGGGATTCATTGGTACCCATTGTTGAATTTAGTGTGAACAGCCAGCCAAATAGGAGTACGGGGTACACGCCTTTCTTTCTGAATTATGGATATCACCCAGTGACTCCAAATGAGCTGATCAGAGGGACTGACAGTTCTTCTGTTGAGACAGTGACTAGCTTTGCTCAGCCCCTGCATCGAACTTTTACCAAGGCGCGGAACAATCTCCACCGGGCGAACGAGCAACACAAGAAATATTATGATCGTTGTCACCGCCCTGAGGCCTACTCAGTGGATCAGCTTGTTCTGCTATCCACTACGAACCTTCGGATGCGTGGAACACCGGCAAAGCTGCGGAGACGCTTTGTGGGGCCCTTCCGTGTCATCGAACGGATTGGTACCCAATCCTACCGACTGCAGCTTCCTGATGATTGGCGTATCCACGACGTGTTTCATGTGAGCCTACTCAAGGCATGGCGTGACAGTGATTGGGATCAACGCGAGCAGGCTCCTGTTCCGGAAATTGAGATGGCGGATGACGAGTACGAAATTGAAAAGTTGCTCCGGTGGCGATATGTTCGGGTAGGAAATAGGAGGACTCGTGAGTTTCTTATCTTGTGGCTTGGCTGGCCGATTGAGGACGCTACTTGGGTACCGGAGATGGAAATTAACCCCCCCGAGGATATTCCGATGATGATTGAGAGGGACCAACCAATAGAGGACACGGGTGGATCGAGTGGTGGTTCATGATTTGATTTTCGGGACGAAAATACTTAAGAGGGGGAGTGATTATCAGATTATAAGCAGTCAGGATATTTATTACTGGAATATGGAGTGTATGGGTACGATGACAGTACACTAAGGCACCGGTGTGGGTGCCATGACACGGATTCTTTTCGCACCGGTAGCCCGCGAGCTTACCACCGTATTTATGTGGTGAGTGCAGTGTAGTAATGATCCTTTCTCGCGCAAGCAAACTGCGCCCGCGACCCGACCCCGCGACCTCGGCCGACCTGGCCAGCGGAGCCCGCGAGCTCGCCTGTTCCCGAGCATACCGCCACGAGCGCCGTGCTCAGCACGCGCAGTCCGACGATTCGGACCCGGCGGAGGCGGAGCATCGAGCGGCTAACCACCACGCGCATCGGAGGCCCCCTCGCGATGGCGGGGGCCCGAAGGGAGGCCGACACACGTGGGCGGGCGGAAAGAGGCTGGTCAGAATTTAAAGTACTATGGAAATTAGACCAAAAGGGCCAGTGAGTTTGACAGGAGGCTGGGCAACCATGCGTGGGGGGCCAGTGACCGTTTGATGGGCGAATTTGTGTGGTTGTATTTCGCTTGCTGTGAACGGAAATGGGGCGGCGGCGTACGGTGCTCGCCAATCGTTTTTTGCTTGCACGTGGTGTGGGCCTGAGGGACCGAACTGCCTGGCGTGTAAGCCCCAACGAGGGCGTTTTGGAGTGACCTGTGACTGGTTGCGCGGCCGCGAGGCCCGTGACGCGACTGGGCGACAGCCGACGAGCGGGCGCACCCGTACCGTGGAGTCACGGTGCACTCTTTTGTACTGGACTGTTTGGAGCTGTCTGGGGGTGCCTGAGGGGGGGGTTCCTGGTTGGTGGCAAAGGTGGGAGTGTGGAACCTGCTGTGCTGCACGCCCTGTCCTGTCCTGACTGTGTTGTGGGGCAGTTTTTTGCTGTGTGCTTGCAAGAATCTGCTTGTACCAAGCAAGCATCTGGCTGACCATCAGCCATCTGTCAAAAAGTTGCAAGTGCTTGATGTACTTGTGGTGGAAATGAACTGTATAGGGGTCAAGGAACAGTGAAACATTGTCATTTTCATCACTGCTCTGTGATCTATTGTCCTGTTGATCAACTGAACCTGCCACCCTTGTCTATGGGAAAAATGACCATGTCAAAGCAATACACCTGCATAGGCAAGAGCGAACTGATCTCTCAGTTGCTGGATGCAACAGGCCAATTTCCGGTAGCTTGGGATGTGCGCAACGCCAGCCCCACAGAGATACAGCCGCCACTCAATACCTAGGAAGACTGCCCAGCCTGCTGCACGCATGCCATGGGCAAGGACGTCTGGGACTGTGAAGAACGCGTAGCTGCTTGTGCGTGTCTTGGGCTGCAAGCCGTGCTTTTCAACACATTCGGACACTTTGGGGTGACGTGACTGTTTTGGGCAATGTGGAGGGTTAGTTGGCGAAGTCCCAATGGAACTGTTGCGCCCCAGAAACAGAAATGCCAAAAAAATGAATGAAAACGCAACCAAGCATCGCGCCCCGTGAAAAGGCTGACAATGCCAACCAAAAAGCACCACGAGTTCAATCGACACGTTCAGTGTCTTCAACTCCCTCTGAGGAGCTGGGGAGAGAGCATTGCTACCCTGTTCACCTGGTATCAGCATGGTCAAAAAGATCCCTTAGCAGTTGGGGAAACGTAGTGGTGGATATTAACACTGGGTCATGGGCACTGGCGTGGTGTGGAACCCCAGAAAAACGTGGATACCAACACAGGTGAACATGGTTTCTGCCTTGGTCTCCTGAGCCCACCCAGTCATGTACTCCCAATGATAAATACTAACAATCGTGCCACAAACCAACGTATTGTACCCCACGTCCCCAAACTCACAGTTTGCCCTTCGCTTTGCCAGTACTTAACGCCACTCAGCGAGTGACTCACCCCATGTGTCAGTCTCTTATTCCCGTACTTCACTCCCTTCACTCCCTCTCCATCCCACAACTAAACCAAACACCACTCTCCAGGGCGGGAGGGCTGGGTGCGAAACAAGATAAGGAGGGGGACCGAGGGGGGAGCCTAAATAGCCCGCCCCGCTCAGCCCCGCCAAAGCTCGCCAAACCCGAGGGCGCCAAGGTTGTCGGCACCTCGTATTTTCGTACTTTGACTGACCCACAGTACTAGGATGACCAGAAATCAGAGGGAAGAGGCGAGGGCTGAGTGAGCCCCAGGTTCAAACTGCGCCTTTTAAACCACCGGTGCAGCCCACCCGTCGTCTCCCTTGGCAGAAACCCAGTAACAAAATAGTTAATTTCATATATCGACACAACGAACAACTATTCACTTGGTGATATTCGCTGACTATGGCTGGTAGCACACTGTCCCCCGTCAACAAAGCCACAGCAGGACCACCATTTTTCTGGGCGGATCACTTGTGCATTGTGGCAGTCCCTTGGTCTTCATTTCCAGAACGTTATGTGTTGTGAGATGAGCCTAGCAAGTGACTACTGAGGCAAAAACATGCAGAGGACAAACTATTGCGGTATGAAGATGCTTTAATTTATGATGAAAACCTTTAATCTATTGGCCAATTGTGGTTCAAGGGAAAACCTCCTCGATAATGCTCGTGTTTGCCTGGCATGACATGAGCACCTGTGCTGGCTGATGCCCAATGCCGATCTGACAGCTGCAGCCCCCTTTAGAAGCGTTGGGAGACACTGAATGCCCACTGTTCCTGCTCTTTGGGCTTATTTTGGCAAGCTGGGAAAAGTGTGGGGGGGGGGGGGAGGCGTAGCACACTCAGCGCCACCCAACTCAGGAACAGCACACTGTAGGAACTTGCATGCCCATCTAAGACAAGCAACCGTGATAGTACTCGCTGATGTTTTCACTCTCAAAAATGAACACACACACTGTCACGTGTGCGTTCCCGTTCAAAATCTATTAAATCAGCTCAAATCATGACACCATCATTCTGTACGGCGTCAGGACTGACAAAGTCATACATGAGGAAAGGCTTGACATAAGGTGCCACACACCAGTGGATGGCAGAGGGTCTGTGACCAAAACTGAAGAGAGGGTCCAGAGGGCAGGGAAAGTTGGATTTTCTTCCACGTGTTTCCTTTCCCTTTGTTGGCAGTTTGTATGCATGGATGGAGTCGAGAGCTGCATACCATCGAGGAGGAAGCATACAGACGGAAGGTATAAGCGACCGAAATCGCCTGCAAGGTGCAATGGCCCAGCCTGATTATCCAGTCAAACCCTATCAATGCGGAATTTGATCGCTGCAAGAAAGTAAGCCAAAATGGACTTTCCGCAACCTTCCCCTTGTTTCTCAGCGACGGACACAAGCACACACCTTGCCACCACCCTCAACGCCACCCACTCCCAGACCGGTGCAAAGTTCAAAAGCAAGCCTCAAGCGCCCTCCACGAGCCCCGCCCAGAGTACACATCCCCCAACCCACACTCTCGCGCCCACTAGTGCGCTTTGCCCTCAGGGCCCCACCCTCTGGGGCCACTCCGTGCTGGTCACAATCCGGACAACCCCTCCCAAAGGCTGCGATTTTCTTTTCAATGCAAAGGCGGCGCTCCGCCACGCCCGCACAAACGCACCCCAAGACCGCCCGCCGCCCCGCCCTCAGATGAGCAGCTTCTCGATCTCCACCTTGAGCGAATTAATCTGCGTCTTCAACGGGCTGCCCTCGTTGGCCGTCACCGAGCAGGCGATGACCGGCCGCGTCACGCCGCAAGCCCTTCCCAGCGCCGCCTTGGACGGCACGAACACGTACGGCACGTTCTTGTCCTCCGCCAGCAGCGGCAGGTGCAGCACGATCTCGATGGGCTCCGCGTCCGCCGCCATCACCACGAACTCAGCGATCCCGCGGTTGAGGCACTTGGTGGCTTCGTTGGCGCCCTTGCGCAGCTGCTTGTAGTTGCCGCCCTGCTGGACAATGTCCATGATGGTCTGCGCCAGGGCGGCGGGTGCCAGGGGGTAGGCCTTCGGGTTCACAGCCTGGGCCATCGGGACGGGGGCGGCTGATCACGACCCCGGCCGGCGCCTCCTTGAGCTCTCGGTTCGATGCCCCTGTGGATGCGTTTCTTCCTTCTTGCCTATGGGTGTCTTCTTTCCTGCTTTTCTTCTTTCCTTCTTGTCTTTCTCCGCAGCCTCGACGTTCCTTCTGCTGCTCGACGCCAAAAGGTGTGTGTCTTCTTTCCTACTCGGCCCTTTGCGCGACCCCGATGGAGGTCTTGTCTTTTGTTGCGAGAGCTTACACAGGGAGTGGTTCGCTACGGCTTTGCGGGCCCGGCGGAGGCTGGGGCGGCGAGGAGAGGCAGTCAGGGGCGGTTGGGTCTAGCGCGACACACCCGGCAAAGTCTGGCCGTTCCCCTAACATGCATCAGCCGCCATCCAATTGGGAGTCATTTTGATAACATATCGTCGAGCTGACGTGGAGCCCCGCAGTGACTCCATGGGTCAGTCGGACGCCTGGGTTGAGATCCCGTGGCCCTCGCCAATGGTCGGGGGCGCTGTTGTTCGTGGAGGCTCGATCGGAACATCGCAAGTTTGGATCCTTTTGTAAGCCATGACACAATTCACTTCCTCTTTTCCGGAAGTTTCCTCTATTTTGGCCCCAACCGGCCCACCAAATACATTGCCTGTCAAAGCATGAATTGTTGCGACCAGGCAAGGAGGTGGTTGTCAGCTTCATATTTTGCATGAGCCGAGGAGTGTCCACGATGCGATGATGAAGCAAAGAACTCGCTGATCAAAATGGATATTGGTGTTGTATCTTGGTATGTTGGCCTTGTATTTATCTATGTTATTATCGCAGCCCCGTCGGCAGCCCCTAGTTTCTGGAGGCGCTAGGGTCGCCCTGCCCTGTAACACAGCCGTTGGAGGGTGGCTGGCCTCTCCACCTTGGATGGTGGGCATATCCGAGGCAGTCGATTGCGTTGTTACGTGGTGGGCCCAATGCTCGATGAGGATCGATCCCCGGCACGGGGATCCGGGGACCCCGGGGCTTGCTGTCAGCGAGAGGTAGTAGCGCAGCGACGGCGGTTCGCTTCGCTGGCTCGCGGGAGACCATGCAGTGGCCACGGATGCGGTTATAGGATTCACAGCATGCGCGTGCACTTTATCGCATGTGCGATGCCCGATCGCGGGTCCATCGCGGTCACATCAAGACAAGACAACACACGTGCGCGTCCAGGCACCATATCACCATCCCCTATTCACCCACGACCAAACTATTTCCTTCTAGACTTAAGTGCTAGCCCTCCTCTCTCTATTGTCCTGAGTACTATGACTTCAAAGGGCCATATCTTCATCAATTCCTAATGGATCTGGGCGTTTCAAAAGCCTAGGGGCATCAGGGGCTCTTAAATAAGCCCACCATAGGTTTTTTTTAGAGATTACTAATACCCACTCCAGAAAATATCAATTACGCCTAACCCCAAGCAGCCACATCATATTACTCCCCCCTTGGGGTAGCTTTCACCCCCCAAAAGCACACTATCTCATATCAATGTCTTCCTCATGCTTGTCGCTCTTGATCATCTTCTGAAGCTCTTTTGCATAGGTGAATTTTCCTACCGGTATCCAGGAAGCATCATCAATACTCTACTCTTAAAGAAAAGGCCGTTGATGTGATTCAAACGGCCCCCTTTTGGAGTGCACATGGGAAGCGCGAATCCACGATCGCCGATGCTTCAACAGCGTTGGCACACGGCCAGACGCAAGGCCACACCACATACACAACGCCCAGGGCTTACATATTTGTTCACCCTTCCCATAGCGAAGAGCCTTGCCGACGGTGGAAACTACCCCCGCAGCCGAACAGTTCGAATTTTTTTGCACCCGCAGAACTTTCCTTTTCACGTGACAAGGACCATCATCTATGACTAACCAGCCATACTACGCTTCAGAGATGCCCACTCATCGCCACAATACAACCCACTCTATAACACATGTAACTAAGGTGCCCATACATTCAATGGCAATGTAGAAAAATTTCAGCTGCGAGCGCGACCTCAACATAATATTTATCTCTGAAACAGATGGCATCTCCCACAACAATCAGATTGATGGTCACGAAAGTCCCATCACATGAGAAATAATTCTGTGAGTTCTAAAACACAAACACCCTTATAGGAAAAATGGGTATAAGGCCTTCAAAATATTGTATAGGCATAGCACACATTGCCCACAGTACTACATGGCCATCCAAAATGCTACTTCCTCCGTCCAAGATTAATTGTCCTCTATTTGACAGACAAAGTTCATTACAACACTGACTTCAAAATCACAAATAGAGTTCAAAATCAGAAAGATTGGGGCCCAAAACCCTTAACTACCAATTTTCAAGAAAAAAAAGTTAGCCCCCAAACTGCCCCTCGCTTTGTCCGAAAAATGTGCGTTCACATTCCAGGTCCACGGGAGATCCCTGCGGCTCTGCGCTGCTCCCGTCCTAGTGTGAGGCATGGGGAAGTCGTTGCTCCCATCGTGGTGAAGCGTGGTATCAAGCACGTGGAACAGGGCCTACCACATGCGCTCAAGCATGTTGGGATCGTGATCGCAAAAGGCCATTTGTTACGCGCACCGACCTGATGTGGGGGACGCCCTACTAATGGTCCTTGGTGTGGGGGACGCCCTGCCCAAGATCGTATAGTATTCCTTGTCCCACGGTAACCATTATACTTATATGGATATGGGAGTAAGAGGGGTGGTCCCGCCTAGGTGCCCTGTAAGGACCTAGGTACCCGGCGAGGTGGGTCCGCGGCTCAAAGAGGGTAGGAACCCCACACCCACAGACTTTTCGTATCATTTGGTTTCGGAGCTACCTGAGGGTGGTGACCACGCTTCCGCCTGGGCGGACGAGCAAGCTCGGAGCGACGGGTTCCCTCCCCGGTCTCCTCAATGGAGGCCGAGGAATCGGACACGTCTGCCCGTAAGGGTACCCCCGATGTGTCGGGAGAGATGGGAATACCCCGGGAGGGGACACCGACCTCAATTGGTGATAGTAAAGCCCGGGATGGGCAAGGAGGAGAACAAGTCCGGGAGGACAAGGCTGGACCCTCCACAGCCACTTCGGCACCCGTAAGGGAAGATGAACCCATGAGTGAAGCGGGTGCCCCACCGACAGCGGAGAAGAAACAAGAGCAAGATCAGGGGACCATGGTGGCACTGCTGCAGACCCCTGGTATCATGGAGCTCTTGGAGCAAGTGGCGGATGCTGCGGCCCAGAAGGCGAGAGCCAAGTGGGATGAAGAGACCGCTGAGAGAATCGCCTCGCTGGAGATCACCGTCAACAAAGCCAAGAAAGAAGCTCGAGAAAAAGAGGTGGCCATGAAGAAGGCGAAGCAGCAAAGCCGCGAGGCAGAAGAAGCCAAAACCTCCGCCGAAGACCACGTCAAGGCGTTGAGCGGCCACCTCCTGAAGCAGAAGCTGCGGGCACAGGAGGCAGAGGAGAAAAGCGCCCAACAAGTGGCGCTGGCCGTGAGGGCCCCAAGTCCATCAGAGCTGCCCATGCCAACCATTCCAGAGGAAGACTGGAAGGTTGCTGGCAAGCAGCGACCCAAGCGGAAAAGCCCATCGCCAGGTGAGCGACCGATGGGAAGTCGGACATCTCCATACAAAGGCTAGGAGGCCAAAGCCTTAGGGCGCATTGAGAAAGTAAAAGGCCGGAAGGTCAAGATCCCGGAGCTGCGGCTCAAATCCCAGGTGCATGTTAGAACACCTAGTGGATCGGACGGGACGGGAGATGAGTCGCTCACAGAAAGCGCTCAAGCAGTATGCGGAAAAAGTCCGCCAAGGCCGGAAGGTCATAACTGGAGTCCCCAAAGGCCTGCGTTGCCGGAATGGGGACCAGGTGAAAGCTCAAGAGTGTTGGAATTTATTCCAGACACTAGAGATCCGTATAGCCGGCAACCCCCGTGCCATGCAATGTGGACAAAGTTCCACAGTAATCTCATCGATGAGCTTGACGAAGGGTGGCGGATGGCTGCCGAACATTTTGGAGAAAGGTTAACCACCGCCAGATTAGTGAGAATTCAAAGGTGGTATGGTCCTGGTATGGCAGATCAGATTGCCAAAGAGGACCCAAAACGGTCAGAAAATATGGCCTTTGTGCTCAGGCAT